GGCTTGTACAGGTAAATCGCTACCTGCCAGGTGTCCATTTTTTTCACCTTTTTCTGCCTAAAGTAGTCTATAACTTCTGAAGCCGATGAAAGCCACCGACTACACTATGTCTACAAGTTACGTGGATCTTTCCTGGACCAGAATTAACTTTCATCGGCTGCGTCGAGCTGCGTCTGCGAAAATGCAACGACATAAATCAAAGCTACTCATGGTGAAATATACCAAAATACCGACACAATTTCGTACATTCCAAGAAATACACTAACTGTAGCGCGTGGCGGTTACACTTTGAAATAAAAAAAAATTTTTTTTCAGTTTTCAATTAATTTTTATTTGAGCAAATACATAAAAATAAACATAACAAATTAAATAAAAAATATTTTTTAAAAATTTGCACATATTGTATTTCAAGGTATCTTAATATGTAAACAAATTTTTGAGTCTGTGCGACCACGCCCTCTCTTGCCTCCCACACAAACAATTTCTTTGTGTTAGTACAAATGTGACTTTGAATTCAGACAAATTACTTACATCTCTTTTGGGAAGGACACAATAATATAATAATTTATTATATGTGATTTTGTCCTTAAACTTCATCGTCTTCTTCTTCTAATACTAAAGAGCATTGGTCGTTCAGGTCCTCATCAGCATCAGAATTGGAATCAGAATTCAATTCCTTTTCTAATATATTTTGGCTTTCAGTAGACGGCAGCTCCAGAAGACTTAATACTTCTTTGGGAAGAGGTTTTTTTATATTTTTTCTTTCTCTTTCTTTTAAACAAACACTTGAAAGTAACGGATCCGATGAATCTATTGCCCTGTGGAAAAGGTCAGTCATAGTATTGATTCGACTATTTTTTCTTGCGTGTGAAAGTCTGTCTTTTTTGTAAATTTTATTACGTGCTTCTGAGGCATTTTCGCCCAAGCAGCCAAGTGGAACCAAAGTTGAGTTATTTTTTTGAAACCCATGGACTAATACTTTGTGAATAGTTGGTGACATTGGGAACCACGGGTATTTACTCATATATAAGTAAAACGTTTTCTCACAAAAAGTTCGAAATTTTTCAGAGCTTACATAATGGTTACAGGAAATTGCTATTAATATAATGTGAAAATTATTTAAAATTTGTTCGTCAAAGCAGGTTATAGATGACAGTTCTTTACTTTTTGCAAAAGCTCTTCGTGCTGTATTGCCATCATTGCTGTTGCCGCTGCCGTTCTGTTTTGGCTGGCTTATTCGTAGACCCATTTCATTCCATATCTTTTCCTGAATATATTTTTTGCGTGCACCCATTTTCAGTTTATCATCACCAGTTACATGCCATTTTTGTATTTCTATTCTGTATGATATGTTCAGGACAAATTCTAAAAACCGAATCCACGCATGTAGTGGACTCACTCCAAATTGTAAAGCTTCTAGCTTAGGGGTGAAGGTTTTTGAATTAAAATCTTTGGTGTCCATTACTTTTGTTGGGGTCACACCACAGATGGGACAACATTGAGTTGATTTAGTACCAGTTAGTACGTTTAGTACTTTTCCGTCAATGAGGGTCATATGCATTTCAAACGTTACTGCTATGTCTACAGTGTCATCTGTTTTGTAATAAAACGTTTTCAAATTATCTATTTGATAGTCCAATTGATTTTTTTCCATAATAATTTGATCAGTAGTTTCTTTTACAAATTGAATTTTTAGGGGCCTGCAAAATCGAATGGACTGCGGTGTTCGGTTAACCCATATGTTTCTCTGAAATGAGTCAATCATTTTTATGGGGATAACAGAAGTTACAAATAACGATTGATCTGAAATCTGCGCGTCTGGAGTGTTTATTTCAAACTTCTGTTTGTATGAACTCTGGCCAGTTGACCCATCAAAACCATAACTGCAAATTAATTTTAGTCTACATCTCTCCGGAAATTGTTTAAAAACATCGGATTGCATTTCAATTAATCGCTGTGCAGTGTGATTTAGGAGGTTTTGTAAAGAAACTTGAGCAGTAGTTTCTGTAACATCGATTCCTATTGGCCGACATTGAGTTTTAGCTTCAATAACTTGGTTGTAACTCGGATAAATGTTACTGTTATGACTTATATTCAAGGCTCTAGTGTTGACATACTGCTGCTTAGTCAATGAATTTTCCAGGATGTAGGCTAAAGCTTCATTTGGTGTAAGTGAAGTCGGTTTTAGCATTTCAAATTGCTTTTTCAGTTCCGTTGTGTTTTCAGGTGTAGTAATCGTTTCTTTTAGGATAAACGCCACATTCGTATTATTTTCTCTCTTAGCTGAAACTGCTGCAGCATGAACAAGGAGATTTGTGTTGTTTTCTTTTTCATTCGCAAGCTCAGATGCCAATTTTCTTTTCAATCTGGGCCCTGCATTTGTATAAGACAAGGTTGGGCGTCCAGGTCGTTGTGGTGTCTTACAAATATTTAATGTAAATGATATTTCAGACGATAAAAATGCATCGTGCCTTGACTTAAAACGTTCTACCATATAATTACATTTTTTAAGGTATTTTTTTATAAAGGATTCAAAATTACTTATTTTTTTATTTCTTTCTACTTTTTATCATCATCCACGTGATAAACGCTAATTTTTTTATAAATCCATTCTGACACAGATGATATTTCACGATTGTTTTTGCACCATATATCAAAGAGATCGCCATGGCGAAACTCGAACGTCGCTAAATATTGTAGAATTGTGAGAAAAGGGGGACGAACGGGGAAAAGGTGTTAATGAGCGATGAACAAGGACATTTCAATGTACAAACTGGCGTACTTAGTTGTCCTCAGCAGACCTCAGGCGATTAGTTTTATTCCACGAAACACAGGAGACACGTGTTAATTTTCTACAACAACTACACATAAATTGGACAATAAACACATCACGAAGACTGACTACATGTAAATGTACTATATACAGTGAATTCTACATACCTTGATCTTTAATTTCCATATTTAACTTTATTTTCTTCGGACACACAATTTTTATATTCACGCACAGAAGAAAACAAAATAATTGGCGCCAATTTCTCAACACTAAGCAGCTGATCGGTTGTGTACTTTTGAAAGCTTATAAAAGCTTTCATTGAGGCCTTTAAAGCTTTCTATATTAATTTATTAAATGCATGATGTATTAACTTTAAGAATTTAAAATCAAAAATAAAAAAAATGAACATAAAAAATTTGACTTTATGCCAAAAAATCGGCCTCATGGACCATAGTGCATTCCAAGAAATACACTAACTGTAGCGCGTGGCGGTTACACTTTGAAATAAAAAAAAAAAATTTTTCAGTTTTCAATTAATTTTTATTTGAGCAAATACATAAAAATAAACATAAAAAATTAAATAAAAAATATTTTTTAAAAATTGTTTTCATTGAAAAAAAAATTATTTTTTCACTTTGATCCCCTTTAAAAAGGCGTATTTGTGGGCGTGGTACTTTATGCAGTACATATATACATTTTACAACAATTACCTGTCCAATGCCGTTTAAATTATTCGATTACCTTATTTGGTTCAAAAGATATGATTTTTGCAACGCTAAATGAGAAAAGGCGCTACTGTGCGACAGTTTTACATTCGCAGCTTTACATTTGCCCTACATCTACTGATCATTATATTGTAACTATATTATATAGTGATCCGTCCGTCCGTCTGTCCGTTCCTACGCAAACTAGTCTCTCAGTTTTAAAGCTATCTGAATGAAACTTTGCATATATATCTTCTATATACTCTCACTGCTATATATGTCGGAACGGGCCGGATCGGACGACTATATCATATAGCTGCCATAAAAATGTTCGATAACTTTTGGAAAAAAATTATAACTTGGCTGTTCTTCAATATTTTTGCATTATGTCTGAGATGTAGCCATTTTATAATTTTCCAGAATTTTGGTAAAAATTTTATGAAAATCGGACGTTTATATCTTCTAGCTGTCATAGGAACGATCAGGAAATTAATAGGAATAAAAATTGTAACTTCGGTGCTTTTCAATGTATTTTCATCTACTTTGAGGTAATAAAAAAAATTTTTATTATTTTAGAATTTTGGTATAAATTTCATAAAAATCGGACAACTATATCTTATAGCTGCCATAGGAGCGAGGTAGATGTAGAGAAAATGTAAAGCAGGGAATGTAAAACTGTAACTGTCAAACTGTAAACATAATAAGTATAGGTAAAATGTAATGAAACTCTGTTTTGTGTGTTTTCAACATTTAAATTTATTATATAAATATCAAAACCAATCTGCAAGGGTATAAAAACTTCGGTGTGCCGAAGTTAGCTTCCTTTCTTGTTATAGTTTCATTCAGATAGCTTCAAACTGAGTGATTAGTTTGCGGAAAAATTGACAGACGGACATGGCTAAATTGACTCGACTGTTGATGCTGATCAAGAATATATATAGTTTATTGCAAACTTCTGACTAAAGTTATAATACCCTGCAAGGGTATAAAAAGAAAAAGACCAATGTATCAATTCATTGTCCTGAGCAAATAAAGAAATTATCGCTTAAGATCCTCAAGAAGAATATACTCAAGAAAACCAAAAACCGAAAACCCAAACCAGTTGCCAGTCAATCAGTGAGATCCGTTGATGGTTGTCTTTGTCAGCAAACATTTATCTCAATCAACTTAAAGTGTTTTTATTTTTTATGTATGTAAGTCTCAAAATTCTCTATTTTACAGAAATTATAGAGGAGAAATGTTGCCTAATAATCCTATGTTTTCAAAAGATATTTTTAAAATCTCTAATTCGAGAGACAACTCGCTTTGTTTCACTTGCTGGCAATTCTTGTTGGTTTACCTTAATATTTTTTAAAATTATTACAAAAATTTAATTTAGTTTTAATTTTTGATACAAGTTGACAAAAAAAAAAAAAAAAGATTCATTCATGTAAGATCTTTCAGAAATCTCTAGATTATTAAATCTTGGTTTCTTTTTTAATTCACAACAAAATAGTCCTTGATTTTTAAATCAAATTCGATAATACAAATTTTTAAATTAAATAAAAGTAGTAACAATGATGATGCCTATCCATCATTACCATCATGTCGAACCTATCAAGACCGAGCATAAGCAAGAGCACAACCACCATCATGACGACCAGTATCATGACCACTATCATGACCACGATCATGACCACTATCATGACCACGATCATGGCCACGATCACGACCACTATCATGGCCACGATCATGACTATCATGACGACCACCATGGGCACTACGGCGATTACCACCACCATCACGGCCACTACCATCATGACGACCATCACCATCGCGGCCACTACTATCGTGACGACCTTCACCATCACGGCCATCACCATCATGACGACTACCACCATCATCACTATCATGTCGGTCACCACCATCACGGCCACCATCATAATGACCATCACTATTATGACGACTACCATTATCCAATCAATCTGTTCGACCCTATTCTCGGTCGAAGTCCAGTTTTCTATGTGCCGCAATCTGCAACGAGCTTTTTGGTTTGCAAACATGGCCGACTGCCCCAGAGCTACATTTCCTACAATGGCCTGGATATCGGAGTCAATGCGGAGATTGATGACTGGAGGGACTTCCTCGCTATGCAGGATGGACTGAAGGTACTGATCTTCCTGCTGTTGTTTCTTATTTTAGCAATGCCAATCGTGGGGTGAGTTTTGCTTTTAATTCTTATTCGTGTTAAGGATTTCAACGAGCAGCTTTACCTCATAGGTCCCTTTATGGCTGGTTTTGGGGGCGATGCAGAAATTGCAGGACAGGCAGCAAGAGAACGTGCTATAGCTGTGGCATCCTCCTGGCCGTTGCGGCACTCCTTATGTTGTAAGTCTGTTAGGGATTCGTAACTACCGCTGATCTGGCTAAACGAGGTTTAGTTTATTTCTCTTTTTGGCCATAATGTCAGCCAGGCAGTTAACGAAGGGCCTGGAGAAATATGGGCCTTGTTCGCAGCGATCCCTCTACCATCACCCCTACAGGCGCATGCGACTTCTGCATGACCCTAATTATAAGCATTTTTTGGAGCGAATCGAAGCTCAGTCTGATGCCACACAAGCGGGGGACCATGCTGAAGCCATTAAGGATCTAAGCGAGGTTCTTAAAAATATGCACACAGCTAAGTTAATTTTAGAGGAGTTCCAGAATGAGCTGCCCGTAGCTCAGGGGTTGGCTATTAGGTTTCGGGATGGTGAGAATCCTTTGGTTTTTTAAAGGATTAACAATGACAATGATCCTCAACAGCGTTGCGTGCCGTCAAACAAAATCTTAAGGAATTCCTCATCTCGCACTGCAACCAAGAGGAGTGCAGAGATTTCTACAGAGACAATGAGGTCAGGATGCTAGACGAGGGATGTCTGCACTTTGATAGAGTAAGTACATTAAAGGCTAAGTAAAAGGAACGTAACAGGATTAACACCAAACAACTGTTAAAGATTCCCTCAACGGAAGACTTGATCAAGTCCATTAACGAAATTCTGGCCGGTAACTTTGTCATTTATCCCCTAATGGCTGCTCAACAGATCGCAACGGCGTACAGGAATCACACTAATAACCTGCTGGACACAATTAAAAAGGATCCCCATAAAGACGGTTAGCCAAAAAAAAACTATAGACATATTTACCTCTAGCCTCAAAAAGCCCACCCTCAGACAAATATCTGCAGGATAAGTACAAAGCATCGTTAGTAGAACTCCGGGTAAATAAGATAGGGCCTGCAATAGCGATTCGTCGTATTCCCGTAGCTGCTCTGCGCCGAAAGCTGGGACCTTCGTGGTATGGAAGCATGTTAGGAATGCTCTTGGTGCTTATGATTTTGCCCATCCTCCTGCTAATTGCTCTTGTGGTAAAACTGTTTAGTCCAAATGTGTCGAATGGGCTACTCTGTGCATTCCTCACTGCCGCCTTCATGCTTTTCTCGATACCCCTTGTCCTGGTGCTCTTCTTTCTGGTCCACGGATTCTTGACGTATGACATTTTCTGTGCTGGGTAAGTTTTATGAGGAGCTCCAAGCTTAAATAATCCCTCATGTACTCTTGTAGACATCAGGTGCCCGAAAGGAGGATTCCGATGTATAATCGACCGATTTTGTATCGACCGAATAATAATCCAGCGAATGATAAACTACCGAATCATAATACAATGAATGCTAATACACCGAATGCTAATTCAGCGAATGATAATCAACCTATGTTAAGATCTAGAGATACGGTAGATCCACCGGATCACAGTCAACTGCATGACCATCCACTAGATAACAATCCTCCGGATGATAATCAACCTGTGCTAAGATCTAGAGATACGTTGTATCTACCACCGGCTGACAATCCACTGGATGACAATCCACTGGATGACAATCCATCAGATAACAATCCATCAGATGACAATCCACCGGATGATAATCAACTTGTGCTAAGATCTAGAGATACGTTGTATCTACTGGATGACAATCCACTGGATGATAATCCACCGGTTGATAATCCACTGGATGATAATCTACCCGATGATAATCAACCTGAGCTAAGATCTAGAGATAGGTTGTATCTACCGGATGACAATCCACCGGATGATAATTTTCCTGTGCTAAAGTCTGCAGATACGTTGTATCTACCGGATAATAAGCCACCTGTTCTAAGATCTGGAGATACGTTGCAGAGGTGCGCCGGTAATGAGGCCTTGTGCGGTGACTTGGGTCGCAAAGAGTTCTATGTCAATACGAAAAGGGATATCCGGGAGGCGGCCCAGGACCAGGAGCTCTTGCGGAGTAAGCTCTTCAGCTACAACAGCTCAGAATTCACCCAATATATGTGCCGAGAGCTCGTGCCGGAGCCCAAACCAGGACCTCTGCCGGAGCTGATCAGTAGACTGGCCAACCTGACCAGGAGTGTGGGATCGCCTCCTTTTCTGTTAAACCAAACCATCAGGCTGCAAGTCGCTCACAAGAAACTGGGGCAACCGCTAGCCGCGATCATTCAGCGACTGCTGGGTAAACTGAAGCAGCTGGATCTCCTACTGTCCGGCGGAAATAAAAGCTTTGACATGTACATGAGCCGACTTCTGGAAAAGATTAAACAGTTTCAACGCCGCGATTTCGTTGGATTTGGTCTGCAAAATGAAACCAAGGAATCGATGAAGAGCTTAGCTCAGGCTCGCCATTACCATGGCCATCACGGCCACCACCATCACGGCCACCACCATCACGAACACCACCATCACGGGCACCACCATCACGGCCACCACCACCATAATCACACAAACCATCATCACCACGATGATAATCACACCGAGGATCATCACCACAACTATAATCACCACCATCATCATCACCACTTTCATCATCATCATCACCATGGTGATAATTACACCGATGATCATCACATCAATGAGCATCACCACAATCATCATCACCACGATTATCATGCTTCGTATCCCTATGGGAGCTTTGATCCCTATTTCTATAATAGTTTAGCTCTGAATCGCTATTTGATTTACAAAGATCTTTGTGGGAGTATTGCCAATCCAATGGTGAGTGGGAATTGCGATAAGTGTATGTATCTTTAATTATATAATATATAACATTTCCCTTATTCTCCAGAACGCCATCTGGTTCTGGCTTCTACCCTTCACCCTGATGCTTCTGCCCGCCATCTGCTGCAGTCATTATTTGAGATGTTACTGCCGATGTTGTAGGAATGTTTGTGAGGACCCCTGCGCGGCCCCGTGCTCGGAACCCTGCGCGGCCCCCTGTACGGCCCACTGCACGGCCCCCTGCACGACCTCCTGCACGGCCCCCTGCACGGCCTCCTGCACGGCCCCCTGCACGGCCCCCTGCACGACCTCCTGCACGGCCCCCTGCACGGCCTCCTGCACGGCCCCCTGCACGGCCCCCTGCACGGCCCCTTGCACGGCCCCTTGCACGGCCCCTTGCACGGCCCCTTGCACGGCCCCTTGCAAGGCCCCTTGCACTGCCACCTGTGCGGCCCTCTGTGCAGCCCCCTGCACGCCACCCTGCGCGCCACCCTGCGCGGGTCGTTGTGTGAACCCTTGCGTTTCCACCTGTGCGGCTCCTACAGATTACACCTGTTGCACGGTGCCAATGGAATTCCCAGACTGCTCCTGCTACACAATGAAAGACTGTTCCCACTGCAGATATTTTCCAGTGGTGGACGAAACGAATGTCGACCAATTGAATTTAAATATGCATTTATGAAACAGCTCAAAAATTAAACAAAACAAAATTATTAAATTTGTTTGCTTTTCTAGCAAATATTCTAGATTGGCCGGTTATTCTTGATACTTTATAGGATCGGAATTCCCCACTCCGTCGCAAACTTCTGATTACAATTATAGTACCCTGCAAGGGTATGAATACAAACAAGAAAGGAAGCTAACTTCGGCACGCCGAAGTTTGTATACCCTTGCAGATATTATTTCATTACATTTTACCACTAACCATACAACATATAGATTGGTCATTTCATACAACGAAAATGGACACAAAAATTTCTTAGCATACGGTCCCATGTTAATTGTTTGCTGTTAGCGACAGACCGTCTGTTAGATTTTAGCTGTTAGCGACCCGTCCCATGTTAGCTGTCAGCTGTTAGCGTCAGGCCTTTACATGTATGCGTGTTCATGCATGTGTGCGATCGTTTCATTTCGGCCCAGCAAGAATATTTGGTCTTTTGCTACTTTTCGCGCTAGGTACCCTAACAATATGGGCATATTCGCTATTGGGTTAATGATAAAAATATGAATGTTATATGTTATAATACATTCCTTAATGTTTCAGCATACATTTCATATTTGTTTACAATTCAAATCAGTGGCAGCAGTGAAATGTGTTGCATATATGTACATACATATGTATTCGAATGAATAACAATCCATCTACTGAGATAGGAACAGGGCATATTGCAGTCGGTGTCACTTAAAACAGAGACGGGCACGAGATCTAACGGTTGGGTAGCAGCTCGGCCAAAAAAAAAAAAAACAACAACAACAACCCCCAGCGTCTCGACGCGTTGCAGCACACAGAATGTGCAAGCGATCGCGAGCACCGACTGCAATATGCCCTGTTCCTATCTCAGTAGATGGATTGGTATTCATTCGAATACATATGTATGTACATATATGCAACACATTTCACTGCTGCCACTGATTTGAATTGTAAACAAATATGAAATGTATGCTGAAACATTAAGGAATGTATTATAACATATAACATTCATATTTTTATCATTAACCCAATAGCGAATATGCCCATATTGTTAGGGTACCTAGCGCGAAAAGTAGCAAAAGACCAAATATTCTTGCTGGGCCGAAATGAAACGATCGCACACATGCATGAACACGCATACATGTAAAGGCCTGACGCTAACAGCTGACAGCTAACATGGGACGGGTCGCTAACAGCTAAAATCTAACAGACGGTCTGTCGCTAACAGCAAACAATTAACATGGGACCGTACGCTAAGAAATTTTTGTGTCCATTTTCGTTGTATGAAATGACCAGTCTATACGTTGTATGGTTAGTGATTTTACCTATACTTACTATGTTTACAGTTTGACAGTTACAGTTTTGCATTCCCAGCTTTACATTTTCTCAACATCTACCGATCGTTTATATGGCAGCTATATTATATAGTTGTCTGATTTTCATAAAACTTATACCAAAATTCTGAAATAATAAAATAAGCCTATATCTTAGAGTAGATAAAAATACGTTGAAAAACAACGAAGTTATAATTTTTTTCGTATTAATTTCCCGATCGTTCCTATGGCAGCTATAAGATATAGTCGTCCGATTTTCATAAAATTCACACCGGAAATCTGAAAACATATATCCCATGGCCACATCTCAAAAACGGTGCAAAAATGTTGAAAAACAGCCAAGTTATAATTTTTTTCGAAAAATTTATCGAACATTTGTATGGCAGCTATATGTTATAGTCGTCTGATCCGGCCCGTTCCGACATATATAGCTGTGAGAGTATATAGAAGACTATATGCCAAGTTTCATTCAGATAGCTTTAAAACTGAGGGACTATTATTTATTATTTATTTGAAGATATTCTTCCTAACGCTTCGAGTACAAAATACTTATAAGTTAATGCGCTAGTCACACAGGACAAGTTCCTTATCAGTTCACATCTATATGATATACAATTTTTAATTATTCTTATACTAAAATTAAAAACTACGGTCGCTTTGTTTTATTTTATGTCAGATTTTATTCTTGAAAGTGTGCAATAAGTTTTACCTTAAACTGCGCGGCACTGCTAATATTTCTTAGATAGCTTGGTAAGGAATGTACCGAAAAGAAACTGCACACTTTCAATTGTGAAAAGCTCTCAGTGGGAGCATTCGATCATGCCATGCGGTGCACCGTTAGAAAGCTCTATTAATTCTGCGTTGTTTGCATGTTCTCTTTTTACTATTTGTTTTGCACATTTCGCAATGCCTCGTATTGAAGAACACGTCCGTCAAAAAATTTTGCACAATTACTGCACAGAAAACGGTGTTTCGTACCGAAACTTAGCCAAACGCTATAAAGTAAGCGTTAATAGTGTTAAGAATATTATTATCAAATTTGGGAAGACATGTTCTCTAAAAGATTTGCCAAAAACTGTCAGAAAAAAAGGTCCAAGGGATGCCAGCGTCGATAAGAAGGTGCTAGCTTTAAGGGGGGTCTTCTCATTCAAAACCCGTTTTTTGGACCCTTTTTAAAAAAATTCTTATTTGAAAACGCAAAGAATAATTGAAAACTTTTTTTATTTATTGTATTCAAAAATGTTCAAAGTAACTAAAAAAGTTGTTCTTGCCTCGATGCGAGGGTTGTTCAAAGAGTAATGAGACTTCAAACTTGGTGGTCGAAAAAAAGGTGTCGTCCTGGCGGCCACTATTCAGGGTCTCCAGAGCGTCCGAAATTAAAAAAAGAAAACGGGGTTATAATCAGAATAGATGTCATTTTCGGGTGACGGAACAGATTTAAAAAAAAATTTTTTTAAACAAAATGGCGGCCATTCAAAAAAAAATTTCGATTTCGGGCTTTTTTTTTTGTAGTTTAGTGTACAAAAAAAATAGAAAAAAAAAATTTAAAAAAATCTGTTCCGTCACCCGAGAATGGTGACAATTCTGCGTCGATTTCACTTTGTTTCATGAAAATCGGTTGAGTTGAACTGGAGATATCATGGCCGCCAGTTCGAAAAACATGGTTCGAGATAAACGCGTTTGAAGTTTGAAAAAAGCTCATTTTGCGAAGACTTTGCTTCACAAATGAGGCTGTATCTTCTAAAGTATTTCAAATTTCTAAGAATCCTTTTGGGGACATATACAGACCATCCCAAGCTATGAATAAATGCAAAAAAAAAAATCGAAAAAAAAGTTGCCCAATGAGAAGACCCCCTTAATTGAGAAAAATCCCACGACGTCAGTTCGAGATTTGGCCAAAAAAGCGCGAACGAGTGTAAGTATGGTGCAGCGCATAAAACAACGGCATGGCCTAAAGACTTATAAAAAAACAAAAAGTGCCAAAAAAAGTTTGCGCCAACAAGAAGTCGGCAAAACGAGAGTACGCAAGCTTTATGATCGCTTGCTCACTGATGCAGTGGAATGCGTCGTAATGGACGACGAAACAAATGTAAAATTGGACTCAAAAACATTACCAGGCCCCCAATTTTACACAAAAGCCAAAGGTGAAACAATTAGCGACTCGGTCACCAAAATAGAAGTGGACAAATTTGGGGAGAAAGTCCTGATATGGCAGGCAATTTGCACATGTGGCCTAAAAACCAGCCCATTTTTCACAAATGGCACAATAAACGCAGAGGTTTACCAAAAAGAGTGCATTAAAAAACGTTTAATACCGTTTTATAGAAAGCAACGTGTCGACAATATTTTGGCCAGACTTAGCGTCAGCGCACTATGCCCGGTCAACATTGGCGCTCCTTGAGGCGGAGAACATCAAGTTTGTTTCAAAAGAGGAGAACCCACCAAATTGCCCAGAGCTGCGTCCCATTGAGAGATATTGGGCCATCGTTAAGCGAAATTTAATAAAAAATGGTAGTCTCTCCCAAAATAACAAAGAAATGAAAAAAAACTGGATGCGTGCAGCCGGCAAGGTCACCAAGGAGGGTGTGCAGAACCTGATGAGAGGAGTTAAGCGAAAAATTCGCTTAAAAATAAGAAGTTAATTTTTTTTTAATTCTGTTTATAAAATTTGAAAGTTTAAGTTTTGCTATAAAAAGAACAAAAAGAAAAATTGAAATCGAATCAAAAACATGAAAGTTATAGTAGAAAAAAAGTGTGCAGTTTCTTTTCGGTACATTCCTTAATTGGTTCCATAATCTTATCTGTGGGATCTGTGCCTTATTTGTATAATAATATTTGACCTTCGCGTAGTGGAGAATCTAAGTGTTTAATACAAATAAATTGGTAATTTGGAAAAAATTATTTTTTGTAAGTAAACTAACACTCTCATTTTTATCCAATCTGCCAAGTGAAGTTCAAATATTTTGTTGATAGTCTAGTTACGTGATCAAATCGTCGCAAATTAAATACGACGTCAGTTCGAGATTTGGCCAAAAAAGCGCGAACGAGTGTAAGTATGGTGCAGCGCATAAAACAACGGCATGGCCTAAAGACTTATAAAAAAACAAAAAGTGCCAAAAAAAAGTTTGCGCCAACAAGAAGTCGGCAAAACGAGAGTACGCAAGCTTTATGATCGCTTGCTCACTGATGCAGTGGAATGCGTCGTAATGGACGACGAAACAAATGTAAAATTGGACTCAAAAACATTACCAGGCCCCCAATTTTACACAAAAGCCAAAGGTGAAACAATTAGCGACTCGGTCACCAAAATAGAAGTGGACAAATTTGGGGAGAAAGTCCTGATATGGCAGGCAATTTGCACATGTGGCCTAAAAACCAGCCCATTTTTCACAAATGGCACAATAAACGCAGAGGTTTACCAAAAAGAGTGCATTAAAAAACGTTTAATACCGTTTTATAGAAAGCAACGTGTCGACAATATTTTGGCCAGACTTAGCGTCAGCGCACTATGCCCGGTCAACATTGGCGCTCCTTGAGGCGGAGAACATCAAGTTTGTTTCAAAAGAGGAGAACCCACCAAATTGCCCAGAGCTGCGTCCCATTGAGAGATATTGGGCCATCGTTAAGCGAAATTTAATAAAAAATGGTAGTCTCTCC